ACTACTGCGCCGCTGCTGCTACTGCTGCTGTGCTGTGATGACGACGACGACGACGACGACGATGGTGAGGCTGCTGCTCTACATACCAGGATTTTACCCACCCCCAAAAACTGACTAGTTAATAACATAAAGGATATCAAGGAGAAGAGTGTTTAGATTACAAGTCATAAAGAAAAGTCATTTGGGGAAACAGTGAACATAACGAAGGAAGTGTAAGAGAAATACGATTGTCGTTTGAGGAGGAGGAGGAGGTGATGAGACATGCCGAGGAGGAGGAGGATGATTGATAATGATAATATGCAGGAGGAGGAGAAGGGGAAATGATCATAAAATCTAATATACCTAGAGTTGCAAGTGTAAATATATAATCACAAATATATAGTAAAATGCTGTGGATTTTTTGGGCATAGTTTTTTTTACCGCATCGTAGGTGTTATGTATGTATCCTTTACGTTATGTTGGCGTGGTGTACGTATATATCATACAGAGAATAAGAATACAACCCTTGAGAAATAATAATAATAATAATAAGAAGAAAGTAAACATATATAATCGGATACCAAGATAGGCAACGCGATGATAAGCAAAGAAAATAGTGAAAGTAAAATAATGAAGCCTCATAATACTAAGAATAAGAATAAGGAAGAAAACATACGAGTAGTAAAACCAAAAATAAGAATAAAACTAAGAAGAACGATACCGACAATCAGAAAATGTTGATGCAAGAATTAGAGGTTCTGGTCGACGAGGCGATCTGCAAATACGACACTACAGATACTACTACTACTACTATCAATGATATGACAACAGTAACACTACTAATAGCAAGATGAGGATAAGAGCATTTTGAAAAAAACTTAGGAAGCTATGGGCGATGAAGCGATCAGCAGAGTTTGACAATACGATCGATGTTAGTAAGAAAGCAAAAGCATGAAACACTGAAGGTTATACGAAGTGGATATGAAACCATTACTGTCAAAGCTGTAAAAAATTGAAGGAAGGAAAAGAAAGGAAAGATAGAAAGAAGAGAGAAGAAGAACAATAAAGGGCAATGGATAATATAAAAAAATAAAAAAAATCTTGAAGCAATATCAGCAATATCGATAATGGAAACAATGGGTCAACAGCCATAGAATTTGTAACGGTAACATCTGTATTCATTGGCGACGAGCCATAAAATTTGTACGGGGCAACATCTGTTTTTCTTTTGATGCTTATATATTCTTTTTAAGGATCTGCATACGTTATATATAAATAGCATCTAATGCGTTTCGCAGTTTGCATTGAGCGACAGCCATAAATTTGTACGGTAACATCTGTATTCATTTTGAGACGACAGCCTAAATTTGTACGGCAACATCTGTTTTTTCACTGAATTCTTAATATATTCTTTTTAAGAATCTGCATACTGATATCGCTCATTTATTTCACAGTAACATGACTCAAAAATTGAAGATTTTGAGTTTAGTATAATCACTTGAATTTTGTCATTTTCCTGATATTTATTTGTGGTAAGACGCCATAACTCCTAGTATCAAAAATTGTCCGTCATATGTCGCTCAAGCATAGTGACTCCATTTTCTTCTATATATAAATAGCATCTATATGCTTTTTCGGGGCTTGCAGTAAGCCACACATAAATTGTACGGCGACATCTGTTTTTCTTTTGAATGCTTATATATTCTTTTTAAGATCTGTCATACATTATATATAAATAGCATCTATACGCTTTCGTTCGGGGGCTATGCAATTAAGCGAACAGCCATAAATTTGTACGGCAACATCTGTTTTCTTTGAATGCTTAATTATTCTTTTTAAAGATCTACAATAACTTATAATATAAAATATCATCTATACGTTTTTTTTCGGTTTCGGGGCTTTCATCAGCGACAGCCATAATTCACCTTTTGAAGGTTTAATCGTGTCCCTTTATGTTTTCGTCTTTTTGTGACGTATAACTGTCGCTATAAAAAGCAACCCGACGCCTCGGTTGCGAATCATTAGGCGGGGAAGGCTCTGGCAAGCTCAGCCTTTCTTCGAGAAGCGGACGTCGCCGTGGGAGAGAGCCTCGTAGGACGACCATGACGCTTTTTTCGGATCTCCAATATACAGGTTATATTATTGTGTATTATTTTCACCTACGGTTCCGTATAGACGCCAACGGAATCTGTACGAAGCCGATTTCGATTATCTGTAAAATTCGAATTGTTAACAATATTTTCTTAATTTTGTGGACTCTGTTATTTTTTTCCATAGACCAATAATTCGTTTTACTTCCAATAACTATACTGAATTATCTCTCTCTCTCATTTCATAGACCGTTTTGTTTATCGATTTTTTTCTGTCCCTCTCTGCGTTCTCGGACGATACGATACTGTTGGAGCTGACGATGTTGTAAAAGTCATCACCGACAAAAGCGTATGTCGCGAGGAGAAAAGAAGACCAGACCGAAAAGCCGGAACGCCGACATGTTGATATATTCTATGCAAGCGTTCTCTCCCTCCTTCAGCTCTCATGAAGTAAAGAGTCGAGTCCTAGTTTTCAGGATATGTGCATTATTATGGATCCCCGGCCGAGAGCTCCATATATCTTTTCCGTTTCTTTTATCACGATATTATTATTATGGTCTCTCGGCCGAATGTTTCGCGTATCGTTCCCTTTTCTTAATATTTTTACAATCCATATGCTGACTCTTAATATCAACATACCATTAGAGATGTTAATCTTCCATATGAGGTTTGGTTTCAGTTTGTTTAGGATTGCGATTCAATGATTTCAGCTTGTGTAAGATTAGGAGTCAAGATAAATAATTGAATTAAACCAGTTGTATTTATAAATATTTGCATATTGCATGTTGTTAGGACTATTGCAGGATTTGTTGTTTTACAATAAGATACCTACATAGATACATATATATATACATATACATACATATACACACACCTATATATATATATATATCACACTAATAATACACCTATATATACATATATAATCCATAGATGACGCTGATGGGGACGACGACGTCCACGATAACTGCGAGGCGCTTACGAGTACGACAGCCACGTAATGATCATGAACGATATAATGAAGACATGTCTGTCTATCTTTGAGGAACTGTAAGGTCAACGGATTAACATACTTGTATTTGCAGAAACTGTCATGTGATTTATGTTTAATAATCCATAGATGACGCTGATGGGGACGACGACGTCCACGACAACTGCGAGGCACTCCTTATAGGTGTGTGTATATGTATGTATATATATATATATATATATATATGTATCTATGTAGATATCTTATTGTAAAACAACAAATCCTGCAATAGTCCTAACAACATGCAATATGCAGATATTTATAAATAAAACTGGTTTAATTCAATTATTTATCTTGACTCCTAATCTTACACAAGCTGAAATCATTGAATCGCAATCCTAAACAAACTGAAACCAAACCTCATATGGAAGATTAACATCTATAATGGTAATGTTGATATTAAGAGTCAACATATGGATTATAAAAATATTAAGAAAAGGGAACGATACGCGAAACATTCGGCCGAGAGACCATAACAATAATATCGTGATAAAAGAAACGGAAAAGATATATGGAGCTCTCGGCCGGGGATCCATAATAAGCACATATCCTGAAAACTAGGACTCGACTCTTTACTTCATGAGAGCTGAAGGAGGGAGAGAACGCTTGCATAGAATATATCAACATGTCGGCGTTCCGGCTTTTCGGTCTGGTTTTCTTTTCTCTCGCGACATACGCTTTTGTCGGTGATGACTTTTACAACATCGTCAGCTCCAACAGTATCGTATCGTCCGAGAACGCAGAGGTACAGACCTTCTCAGGAAATAATAGCATCGCCACAGACTACTTTAGAGCGCTGGAGAGAGATGATAATTCTATACTCGTCGGAGGAAGAAATGCGATATATAACCTTTCGATTAGGGACATGCAAGAAAACATAGACCAAAGAATAATATGGCATCCGACCGAGAGAGGCGTTCGCGATTGTTTAATGAAGGGAAAATACGAGGAGGATTGTCAGAATTATATTCGGGTCATAAAGAGAGTAGACGGAGAACAGTTTCTAGTCTGTGGCACAAACGCTTATAGTCCTCTATGTCGTCGATACGTTCGACTGGCCGACGGCGCTAGTTTTAATTATACCGAAACGAAGAGCGGCGTTGGCCAATGTCCTTTCGGTCCTAGACAGAACTCTACACACGTGTATGTCGGTGGCGAGTTGTATTCCGGGACGGTGGCAGATTTTCAGGGTATAACTCACGTCATTTCCAAGAATCAACTTACGACAAGAGCGGCCGTGTACGAACAGCTTAACGATCCCAGCTTTGTGCACTCTTTCGATTATGGCGACTTTATCTATTTCGTCTTTCGTGAAACTGCCCTAGAATCCTTAAACTGCGGCAAACGGGTCTATTCGAGAATTGCTCGCGTGTGCAAGAACGACCGAGGCGATAAGAAGACCCAGACCAAATGGACGTCTTTCCTGAAAAGCAGACTCAACTGTTCTGTTCCCGGAGAATACCCTTTCTATTTCGACGAAGTTCAGTCGGTCACGAATGCCATCACCGGCACCTACGGGGGACAGATTCGCGATATCATCTATGCCGTGTTCACAACGCCGCCCAACTCCGTCTCGGGGTCTGCCGTGTGCGCTTTCTCTATCCGCTCCATTCAGGATACTTTCGATGGGGATTTTAAGGGACAGGAAACACAACAATCGAACTGGCTTCCCGTACCTCGGAGTAAGATACCCAAAAGTCGACGACCAGGCTCTTGTATTCCTACGGATGAGGCTCTTCCCGACGATGAATTTGTCGGCTTCATACAGTCACACGCTCTCATGGATGCAGCTGTTCCCGGATTTTTTAACCGCCCATTCGTCAGTGCATTCGGATACCGCTTTACTACGATCGCCGTTGACCCTCAAGTCCGGCTTCAAGATGGACGGACTATCGATGTTCTTTTTTTAGGAGCAGGAGCAGCTCTGTCCATAGTTAAACTCATCAACGTTATATCGTACGAAAATATAGATTCTGCAGAGCCGATTATTATCGAAGAGATTCGAATTTTCTCGCGACCAGCGACTATAACTAACATGTACCTCGTGAAGAAACAAATGTAGGAGAAGAGCAAAGTAAAGGAGGGAGGCTGATGATATTAACGCATGACGAGGCAAAATCTATTGACACTCAACGCTGTCACAGAGCCATGACATGCAAATCCTGCGTCAGTTTAAGAGATCCGTATTGCGGTTGGGACGTTCATGAGAGAAAGTGTGTCAAAATTTCGTTGGGTTCTAATACTGGAGAATCTATGGTCCTTCAAAACATAACCGGGTATCACTACCAGTGTTCTGTTGTTGATGAGGACGATCATGATAATGATGACGATGATCAGGGTGACGATAACAACGACGATGAATTTTGTGATAACGATAAACATTCAATCGACCATGAGAATTCTTTGATAATCTACAATGATAATACATCGACAGAGTATCCGTATGATGATACAACGGATGACGGTATTTCTACAGAGTATATAACGGAGGTTGATATTTCGACAGAGTATCTATATGAGGAAGATAATTTTTCGACAAAGTATACACATGATAATACAACGGAAATCGTAACAATCGACTTGAGCGTTGTAAGGAATGACATCCTTAATAAAACACATTCCATATTTGCCACCGATTCTTCATGCGTCACAAAGAGTTTTGTAGTTGGTGTTATTGTCATTACTGATATTCTAATTCTTCTTATCGGTTTTATTTTTGTGTTTCTATTGTCTCGAAGGTTATATACACCCACGCACGGAGCCCGTATATCCTAATCGTACGATTGTATATATATATATATATATATATATATATATATATATATATATTCCTCCTTGTTGGGCGAGAAATGTCAACGTTTTCGATTATATCTAACTCGATTCTTTTGGAAAGAATATATTTCGCGACGATTTTAAAATGTTACCATACGGGAAGGAGGATGTTAGATTATCTTGTTTCAAGACGTGTTTTTTGGAATACCTAATAACAACATTATCGATATTTAAAGAAGCTATATGTCTTAATAATATAAAGACCGTCGATTCCAAGAGTAACAGTAAAAACATTGCCGCCAGTGATAGCGGTGACCAACATTTTTTAAAGTTTATAAAAATTAACTTTAGTCATAGTAGAAGTGAAAGGCGAATATGTCTGAATATGTATATAGAAAGAGATGATCAATTTTGCATGGAATATGTCGTTTATGCATTACTAGCAATCGACATGTTCGTCTCCATGTTGGGTAAGACAGATGATAAACATAACAATGATAACGATAATGATGCTAATCGAGACAACTACGACGGCAAGAAGACAAGAAGGTCTCTAATCGACATATCTTACATTAATAGAGATGTACTACTTGCAGAAGACTGCAAAAGTTGCGAAAATAGTCTATACGGATTCGCCGCCGCCCTATTGGAAAATAGAGTGAAGCCCTTTTCGTTTCTCTTCCTCTCGCGCAATAAAAAAAATCTCAACGACCATTATGCGGGTGATCCAACGAGCGTTTTCTTCACAGCCGACGAGATTAAGAGTATTTCGAGAAGAATTAAGACATCAAGAAAGAACGAAAGGATCAAAATCGTCCTGTCAAAATACAGAAAGAAGATAAAGGACGATGCTACCAAAACAGAAAACGGATTGGTTCTTCGTGCTAGAGCCACAAACGTCCTCATACGGTGTGATGACGATAACGATATTTTCATGGACGTCTGTGTGCACATAGTCGATAAAGAGTCGTACGTGTGGATCAAGACGATAGAGAAACAGACAAAGCAATTGAACAAATCGCTGATAGATTACTTGGACGCTCTCGTAAAGATAGACGACAGTGTCTGTCCCGATCGTTTACGGGTAGTAAACGATGTGATAGCATTTAAAGAGAGAATGACAGACAATACACACAAATACTTTCCCGCATTCAAGTTCAGCGGATCCAGAAAATACGCTGCGATCTCCAGAGCTATAGAGACCCTAGCCAATGAGTGTGAGCCGCATGCCGGTACGCCACAGTATCGTCATACGGCCATCAGGGGACACTGCAGCTACGTCAAGGATAATCACGGAAGCTTCGAACCTTTTATGAACACCATATTGCCCTTACTGGTTAACGAAACCATAACGAATATATGGTTCAACAGGCTATTTTTATCGAATACGCAAAGGGAAGTCGCTACCGATAACGACATCAGATCAACTGGATTTTTATCATTCTTAAAGGACGTTGAACGAGAAGCAGATAAGACAAAGGTTGTGGATGTGTTGAGAAAGTTCTCAAACGTATGCGTTACTCTCAGAAGGAATAGATTGCCCTTTCCCTTGCGAGAGAACGACCGACCAATCAAGCGACAAAAAAATACCGCTGTCGCCGACAACCGTTATGACGAGTCGCAGCCGTTAAGAGACGTACAGTGTATACAATCTCTATCGAAAGGAACAGTTAACGTTAAGAGTCTCTCGTCTCACCGTACTCCGAAAATATCGGGTGATATCGCAGTCGGTAAATATGGCGCTGACGATACCGTCAATGAGACCGATAGTAATAGCAATACCAGTAGACGCCTAGCGAATATAGATGCCGGTCAATATCTACAGTATTTTACGCCGATTGCAAAGGATCTATTCGCCTAATAACAGATGTTAATAAAATAACATTTTAACATAACGCTTGTTTGTATTTTACACCCACACGTCTTCCTATCTGTTTACCCGGTAATGTACCACCATCATCTTCTACCAATAAATATCAACAGCAAGCAATGCTATACAGACCAAGATTACAATATGGTATCATAGGATATTTCGCATCCTATTCAGAGTTGCATCATGTGAAGAGAAATCTTTCATAACGTGACCTCTACAAATGCGATAAAACCATCTCTGTATTATAAAATAACAATAGTATACTTGTCGGTATTAGGATCATGAGGGTAAATAAACGGTGAGTTAAGAATAAAGTCTATTTGTAATTCATCCCAATATTTCTATTCCAACATCTATCATATTGCCTACACACATACACACACACACCTCGTATAATATGGTATCGTGTTGTATGTTCTTCTCGGTTATCAGTTCAGCTAGTGTGATATTTCTCTGACATAGCTTATTCTACACATGATCGTCAAGAAAACAAGCATCTACCGTTTTACCACCATAAACTTTACCCTTTCATAATCATCGTCGTCGTTTTCATTGCTGTTGTTCGTATTGGTGGAGTTTTCTTTTCCATCGTCACTATTGTCGCTACTGCCGTCAACGAAGCCAGCATCGTCATCCTCATCATCGCGTACATTATCGTCATTGTTGTTTCTATCATTGATGTTGCTATCATTGCAGCGCTCTCGCT